TTTATTCTACTTTTTCACGTATATCTTCTATTTTGAGTAAGTACAGAATTCTGAGCTAAAAATTATTTTCCCTCAGTATTTTGATGGCTTTGCTTAATTTTCTTCTAAATTTCAGAGTTACCTTTGGGAAGTTTCACGTCAATCATATTTTGATCCATTATCTGTAATCTTTTTTTTTTCACCCCTCTCTGCAAACTTTGAGGGTATTTTATTTGGCCCCAGGGTTCTAAAATTTCCTTTCTATGCCTTAGAGTAAGTCTATTTTTTATCCATTGTGCTGGGTACGCAATGGGCCCTTTCATTATGGGAGCTCATGTTTTTTCAGCTACAGGATATTTTCCTGGAAAAAAATAAAAAAAAAAGTTTTCCTGCCCACCATTTTCTCCTCATTCTGTGTAGAATTCTATTTTTCAGCCACTGGATCTCCTGAGTTAATCCCCTAATTTTTTTAATCTTCTCTTTCTCATTTTCTGTCTCCTTATCTTTATGCTGTACTTTCTGGGAGGTTTGCTCAGTTTTATCTTTCAGCCTTTGTATTGAATCTTTTACTTCTGCTCACAGGTTAATTTCTGTTAATTTCCAAGAGCTCTTTTTTGTTGTTGTTGTTTTTTGTTTTCTGAAAATTACTTTTTAATAGCATCCTGTTTTAATTTAGTGGCTTCAAATTCTTCACATGCTTCTTGAGAGTTATTGTCAGGTATCTGGATGTTTTCTTTTTCCCATGTGTTCTCCTTCCCTCCAGCTGCCTTCCTCCGTTTGTTTCAGTCTGTCTCCAGGGTAGAGACGTTCCTCACATGTTTGGGGGTTCTTGTTTGTTCATGGTTGGGGCTCACCAACCTTGGACCTCAATATAGGGCAATTTTGTTAGACTGTTTGGCTGGACCCCTTGATATCATAGGTTTAGACCTTCCTTTTGGACTGGTCAGATTTCCTGGAAGAGAATCTTCAGTCTTCTGCCTGGAGGGTATGAGTTTGGCTTAAGAGCAATCATAGGAGCCCATTCAAAGAAGGCTGGAAGTCTCAACATCCAGTATGCAGACAAGCAGTCTTGTAATTCCTTTGTTTTTAGTATGGTGCCCCTGATTTCAGCTGGACTTGGTTTCCTTTAGTCCAGAGATCCTAGACCTGAGTTGTAGAGCAGCCTCTATCCACAGGAGGCTGTTAGCACTTGAAATGTGGCTAGTAGAACTGAGGAACTAAATTTGTAATTTAAATTAATTCATTTAAAAAAAATGCATACTCTTTTTGGTATTGGGAGACTTTTATATACTTTGGAAAAACTTGGGTTTGTGGATCTACTTTTCAGATTGTAGATTTTATGAAATCTAAACACAGTATTCCAATGAAACCAGCATTCGAATTGATGTGTGCTGCAGGTGTAAAGTACACAATGTATTTTGAATACAAGAATGTAAAAGAGCTCTTCAATAATTTTTTAATAATGATAATATTTTGGCTAAATTAGGTTAAATAAACTACATTATCAAACTTAATTTGACTGCTTCTCTCTTTTTTTTAATGAGGACACTAGAAAATTTAAAATTACGTGTGTGGCTCACACTGTGTTTCTATGGGCAATGCTGTCCTAGAGGCTGGAGGTGATACTCTGTGGGGAGAGGCAGTCATCTGGCCTGGGGTTGGGTCTTTAGCTTCTTCATAAATAAACATGCACCAAGTCTTCCCGTTTGAGCCCCTGCTTCCCCTCATTTGCAGAGGACCCAGTGCTGCCCATGCATGGACCTGGGGGCTTCTCTGGTGCAGATCAGGTGGTTCTTGGTTTTGCTCATTGCCAGGCCAGAATCCAGTTTCCTTGGTTTGCTTGTTGATTACCAGCCAGTTGTCTGCTTTCAGGTTGCCGTAAGTTTATTGCCATTGACTCTTTATCTATTCTATTTAACTTTGGGGTCTATACTTAAAAAATTTACTATATACTGTTCTTTTTGTGGGATTTCAGGAAGGAACAGAGATAAAAGTACATGTATCCAATCCACCTTCTTGAACTGGAAATCGTAAATACCTTTTGATTTCCTCTCTTGATCCATCCTACTTTGTGTCATTTGTTTGAGGAAGATCCTGCCAGAGTTCTATTAGCTGACCTTACTTCTAGCCTCTTCCCATGCAAAGCTCTGTTCTGGATTGCAAATCCAATTGTGCTGTTCCTCTGCTTAGCACCCTTCAACAGCTTCCAATACACAAGCAAAAGCACTCAAGCTCCTTAGTCTGACAAAGAAGACTCCTTAGGAGCCGACCCCTTTGTACGTCTCCGCCTTACGGGCTCTTACTCCCCACTCCAAATCTCATTACCCACCATCCCTGTGATTGAGTTTCTTTAATGCCTCTGCTTCTCCCATGCTATTTCCTTTGCCTCCCACCTTCTCCTTGTGGCCAACTGCCCCATCCTTGATAACACAGCTCACCAAGCTTTTCGCCAACCTTGGCTTTGGTGGTGGTTGGTGAGGGAATGGGGACTAGACTGGGAGTCCCATCTATTATAACAACAATAATGGTCAGCGCATACTGGGCCCTTTACACACTTCAAATCATTACTATTCTCCTCATTTGCTATATCAGAAAAGGGAGGCACAGAGAGTTCAGTGACTTTCCCAACTGAGTCAAAGAGCTGGAAGCTGAACTCTAGTTGCCGCCTGTATGTGTCAAAGGCACCCATGCTTTCATCACGCTGTAGCTGGTGGAGTTCCAGGCTGTCACCCCCAGTAGACCCTAAACAGCCTGAGGCCAGGGACCAGGTTTTTTTTGTTTTGTTTTGTTTTGTTTTGTTTTAATCTTTGTGTTGTAAGTTCTTGGCACAGGGCCTGGCACAGAGCAGAGGCTCAAAATATACTTGTTGAACCTGCCAGCCTCTAATCATCTTATTATGACTCCTGCCCATTTCCCTCATGTACATGCTACAATCCTTGGTCCAGATTTTCTGGCCTATTCCCTTTTCATGCTAATCATCCAGAAAACCATAATTATTGGTTCCTGTCAGTGTTGGAAGAGGAGAAGGACCCATTAAAAGACATCTTCAGCAGCTTCCCAAGCATTTGCTTAGACACATCTTGTATGCTTTTAGAATGGTAGTCTTATTATTATTTTAGTTTTTTTACAAGTCTACTGGTTTAAATCAGAGGTTTAAATGATGTGAAAAATTCTAATGATGCTCCTTTGATGAGACGATTTTTTCCTCCATGCTTAGCATAATCTTCCTTTGAATTATGCCAGGAAATCTTAAAACCATAGCTTTGTTTGTTTCTCGTTGCAATTCTCCCCCTTTTTTTTTGGACACCATGCTGATAAACCATGGGAAAAAAAGGAGCTCTTTGCATGCATAATGAGGATGGTCTTCAAGAAGCAGCCTCCCTAGGAAGCTTGTGGGCTGAGGAGCTGGGTGTGCCTGGAAGAGAGCCCACCAGCCAGGGCGTGAGGCACAGCCTGGTGAAAGCTGTCCTGGCTGCAGAAAGTGGTCCTGGGAGGATAGATATGGTACGAAGGGGCCACCTGGGTGGATAGTTTCACCTAAGAGTGGTCCTAGCCCTGAATAATGATGGCCAAATCAGATCGGGGTGGCTTAAGAGTTTTCATGTTGTAAGGTTTTAGGGGTGATAATTTGGCTGAAACAAAATTGAAATTGTTCTTGCACAGCAGTATATATAGAACTAAGAAGTGTTTAATAGTCCATATTAAAGTATGGGGGGGTGCTGGTGGAGTTAGACTCTGAGCGTCTCATCCAAACAGCGCCCTCATCACTGAGATCCCATGAACTACGTTTCTTCTCTTCTTCACCCTTCTGAATAAATCATGGAAGACATAAAGCCTCTCACTACCCTTGCCATCATGGCACTACTTGGCAGGGCCACTAGATGGGTGGCCCTGCTGGAGGGGTGGCAAGATAGAGTAGTGCTTCTAAGCATGGAGCTAGAGTCAGGCGGGTCTGAGTTCAAGTCCTGGCCCTGCCACACATCTGCTCTGTGGCCCTGGGGATCCTACTCTTGGCTTCTCAGTTTCCTCATCCATGAAATGTGGGCAACACTCACTTCTTGGGGGTGGTGTGGGGGCTTAAATGAGGTTCTAACAGATGTTAAGCATTTAGCAGTTTGCCTGGCATATGGTAAATATTTGATATGTGTATGATAGATGCAATTATTATTATTTTTGTTGTTAGTGAATGTTTTGTTATTATTACCCAGATGCACTTTCCATTCTCAGGGGGATCTCAAGCAGTACCAGGAGGCCACGGGGAGCTCCAGGGACCAGAATCACTCCTGCAGTTGAGTGGCTGTAGGGATGTGGTGTGTGTCAAGGTTCAGGGTTGGACTTAGGCTTGGAGGGGGATTTGGATGCCTGACGGGGAACGTGGCAGACAGAGGGCAGTGGGGCAAAGGTGGAGAGGAGCCTCGGGGACAGTGAACTGGGCTCAGAGACGTCCTTCCTAAGGGCTTATCTGTCCCATACATCTCAGGGCTGGGGCAAAAGAACTTGCTTCCAGGCTGAAAGTGTTGAAGTAAAATGCCTGAGACCCACTCTGGTGGGATGGGGGGCACCTTGCAGTTTGGGCTCACTCTGCAGTGTAGCAGCAGTAGGTAATAGGCCAAGACCCTCTGAGCACCTCTTTCTCTGTCCTGCAGAGTCTGGTTGGTGAGTGTCCCCCACTCATTCTTCCAGATGTCCTGTGTACATGCAGGGGAGGGGCAAGGAGGAGGGGCAGGTAGAGCTCGGCAAGGGCTTCTCCCAGAGATAGCCAGACATGGAACCTGTAACCTCTGGGAAGAGGTTGACTTTGGGAGAAGGAGGGCTGGTCAGCCTCTGGAGCACCTCTAAATGGGCCGAAGGGGCAAAGGTGGCAGGGCCTCATGCAGGAGAGGGAGCAGAGCCAGGCCTGGGCCGAGTCTGCTTCTCTGGCGAGCCGGCCTTCTTGGGAATGAGGCATCAGGCCTTCCTTTCACCCGCCCTGACTCCCTGCTCACGGAGCCACGTGCTGGCGTTTGGCTGACTCCAGGGCCAGGGAGCCTAGTCTGGCCCACTCATGTGGGCCACTTGGCACTTGGAGCTCTCGCTGCAAATTGATACACTAACAACTGGTTTAGATCAATCCTCTGTGAGTGTTGGTCTGAGTGAGCCTTGCTGAGTCTCTTCCTCTGGGGACTGACAAGATCCCGTTTCCAGGCTTGTGAGGCTGAGGACCAGTCCCTGGACTGGGAATCGTGCTGAAGAAGTGAGTACTGTCTTGGGAGGCTGTCGGGAAACAACCAGCATCCTTGTTCCAGTGAGGCCCACCCTCACCCCAGGCCTTTCCCTTGCATGGTTGCCAGAGTGTATGGGGGTGCGTGTGTGTGTCTGTGTATGTCTGTATGTGCGTGTGTGTG